GTTTCGATTTCCAAGTCCTTATATTTGGATAGTTTTTCACTGACTTTCACGGATGTGTTTCTGTCTGATGGTACTGCCATGTCAATAAATTTACAGGTTATTATTATTATTATTATTATTATTATTATTATTATTATTATTATTATTATTATTATTATTATTATTATTATTATTATCCTCCACCCAAGTGACCCGACCAAGCCAGCGTAGCTGACGCCGTGAGAACAAGCCGAGCCTAACGAACTTGGTCTGCTCGCCAGTTTGGCTAGTATGTCAGGTGATGGCCAGTATTCTATGGAGACAGCAAGGGTGGAAATAACGTTCCTAACGAGCGAATAGCGCCCATGTCTCACTGCCGTAGGGAAATGTGCTACGCACACTAACCTGGTGCACTGGATGTATAAAAGTATTATTCATCCAAGCTATTACCGTAAGCCCGAAACAGAAGGATGATTGTGATTATAATGAACACTCTCTTGTGACTGTTTAAATCATTCGAAGGCTAGAACTTTCCCCTTCACAATTTGCCTGTCAGTTTGGAGGAAAGTTTTGGCGTAGGCTAAATTTGGCGACTATCTTCTCCCGAAAATTTACAAGGAAGGTCGAAGCTTTACTGCATTGAAACTGAGACGTTAAGGTACGTTCTTGTCTAATTTATTTCTAATGTGAACTCGTAGTATATCTTTGTCTTTGAGCTATATTCCTTTGAACGATGACGAGACCTTACCATATATATGCAATGGGTTGTCTGCATTCCTATCGCAAAATGTGCTAAGACCCCGTGCTCGATATTCATTTCATGTTGGGAGTTTTTACCATGCAGTAATCGTGCAGTAAGAGACGAATTCGAAGGCAACGTTAAAAAAAAAACGTACTCGCACCTCTGCCGGTAAATTTCCCTCAGTTTTAATGATATCGCAAGTTATCAACATGGGCGCTGTTGTGTCGTTAAACTTGATGCTGATTTTGCGACTGACGATTCTTTTAAATGATACTTTAATTGAAAGAAACGTTTAAATAGTTTACACTGTTGCAGTTTTCATTGTAAAGTTATTCGAGAACATTCAAGTATGTTGAACAGGCATAGTCGATTGACTGATCATTGCCTACAGTTTAGTAAGGAGTCTTTAAATCACGGATAAGATCCATCAGTCGATCAGAAGCTTGCAACGTCAGCTTGTGTTTCGCTCCTAGCTGAGATCTGTATGCTTAAAAATAAAACAAAGATCCGTGTTAACAACTGATGCAAAGAGAGAAACAATAAAACACTTGAAATCCTATGCCTCAAGTAAACGACAGGGTCTAACAGCAAGTTTTACTCTTATTGTTTCATAAGTCTTTAACGTCAAGCGCAGATTTCACAGAGTTTAAATTAGGGATACGTTGATGGCTTTCTGTAGAATTTGGCAGAATGCGTTATCAGAATACTGATAATTTCAATATACCGGCATTTTATGGGAGAAACACGAGTCGAGTATTGTTAGCCTAACATAGCAGCAGATCATACATTAACATGAATCGCAATACCGTAAACTTTCGAAAGAAACGAAGCCCGTTACTTTCGGGTTTAGCAGCCTTTAGAGCTCGTTACTTTCGGGGGAACGTTACTTTCAAAGAGTCGTTACTTTCGCGGAGCCAACACGTTATCTAATGTTTGCACGACTGGGCTCTTCTTCCAGCTTAAATCTATATTGCTGCAGGAAAACTAGTTGGATACCAAGATAAACTATTTGTACTTCATGACGCACTACTACATTAGTCCGCTGTAATAATATCGAGTTTTCAATTTAAATTTGAAGAAACGTTCCTTTTGACACGCTCCTGTTGAAAATGATATTAACTTGGATCAAAGTTTCCTATATTACGTTCCTGTTACTTGATGAAAATTCTACGGGTTTTGTTTTAGCACGGCGCAACATTAACTGACGTGGCACGAACTGACACAACGCCTCGTGGCATAAGCAATACCTTCCCTTGTCATAGAGTGCCTTAAATCAAGTTGCCATACGTAACTTACACCTGACTATTGATTGGAAAAAAATTACTTTCGGAAGTTTACGGTATCATTATTTCAGAAGACCTATTTCATACCTTGGGCTGTTCTAAGTATAATGGGGTATGCTTCCTCTTGTATACTAACCAACAATGATCTTGGAAGCTAAAACGAGCACAACATACTAGTCAGCTTAGTAACAAACGATCAGGGAAACACAATTAAACATGCAATTACTTTTGTAAATAAATATATGCAAAAATTTCAACATGCGATTGGCTGAGAGCGCGTCAACTAATCCCAAACAAGGCAGAACAAAAAAGTTGATATGGAGTGAAGAAAGTTAAAATTAAATTGCATAAATAGTATTAACAAGTGATCAAATGATTTTTCTCTTGTAACTTTTGGAATAACTAAGCACCCGTAAATTCTTCGAAGACTACAAATTGCACTCGCCACAACTTTGTTTAGTCTTTTATTTTTATGTCTACTATTTATTCCAAATTGCATTCGACTGCGAAATCATTTGATAGCCTATACGAACTACCATAACACTATTAGCTACAGAGGGCATACCAACGTGTTTCCGGTCAAGAGTATGATGGTATAGAAAACGTTCGGGGCTTGGCTTCTTTAATTTCTTGTGCAAAGAGGCTGCGCTTCTTTTTATCAACACTAAAAAACACTTATTGTGAAAATCTCAGGTGAGGTGCATACCTCAGTCTTTATGCGGTCAGCAGTTTTATCCATGAACTCCTGATGTTTGGCATCCTTGAATGGGAAGTAATACTTGTCATTAGTAAAAAGGTAAGTACCTGAAGTCGATAAAGCAGTCTTCTTTTGCTCTCTCTGTCTCTCTCACCCTGATGACAAGAATAACACGTGTCTGACCTATGATTGACTGGTCAAGTAACTGACCCCGAATATACACCTGAATTTTGTAACTAGACTATTGAGTTTTAATTCTAAAAGATGCTTAATTCGAGAACGTTGAACATATCTTCTAATGGTAAAAACTGGACCAGTGAACCGGTATGATTTTGACGAAAACTATTTCAAATAACGAAACAAACAAGCAGCGACTAAACGTCCGAACTCTGCCGCGACCGAACAAAAACTGAGACTGGCACGACCGAATGACATGAATTGGTTGAAGCCTAAATCTTAGCATTCATTCAAGTTGGGTAGTGTTATCTTCGACCGTCTGAACCGACCGCGTTAGTGTTAATTAATAAGCGTTCGCGGAAACGCTAAAGTTATCTTACGAGTTTCAAATCTCTGAAGTCGACAATCACTCATAAGAAATTCGACCAGTGGTCTGAACTGCTTTGGTAGCACTGTGAAGGATTGCAGGCAGGAACTATTAAGAGACTCATTGGGTGTTTCTGTCGAAGGCCTTTGGGTTCAAAGTTGCCCGCGAGAAGTTTTTCCTCGAAGAAACATAAATATTAGCTTCACAACGGTTTTTTGAATAGGTGGAGTGAGACATGCAGCCTTGGTTTACAGCCTACGTCTTTGATATTGGACATCCATGTTATGGTCAAATGACACTTGCCACTGGCAGAAAAAGGTATCGAGTGACCAGTACACGTGACCATATTGCGGGCCCAAGTTTAGAGCTCATTGAGGTCACGTGTCTCTTTGACATATTATACAGTCGAACCTCACTACAACGGCCACCTTCAAAATTTGGACAGAGGAAAGTGGCCCTTGTAGAGAGGTAGCAGTTATGGGAGGCCGAGGCGAGGGTGCGATATGACTCACTTTTTTTTCGGGAGTGCAACATTTAAAAAAAAAATACTTGTTTTAGCATATATATGAATGAAAATGCATCAATAAAAAAGAAACTTAACAAAAACGGAGACCAACGACGTCCAATACGGATCAAGTTTTGTGACCTTTTTCCACAAAAAAGGGGTTTGTATACAGCGTTTGTTAGTCGTTGATTAACTGGCCGTTTTCGAGAGGTTATTTTAGCCGTCGGGACGAGTTTTAGCCGTCGTTGTAGAGAGGTTAAAATGAGAGTGAATGTATGGACTGACCGCCGGGACCAAAGCAAGAGGGGTGGCCGAGAACACAAAACTTCTAAGGGCAATTACCAGTCCACAGACCAAGTTGGTCTCAAGAGATTTTGCTACGAATGTACAGAAATGCTCAACGTTGCTCTTGGGCTAATTGTTCATTAGATAAGTTAGTAAACCTTTATGAGAGTGAAATACTTACCTTAGCAATGGTCTCTTGAGTTTTTCTGGCTGCTCTCAACGAATTGATTTTCCACTTGACAAGGGAAGAAGCCAAGGTAGAAAATCCAATTGAACCTTTTTTACCATCAGCCTGCACTGAATCTCTCCTCGATTGAGTCGCATCACTGGAACCCAACATTGAAGCCGCTATTGAGGACCTTCTTGATCGCGAGCCTCGTCTCACTTCTGCTGCTCCAGAAACATAAGAACTTCCCGGAGAGAGTGGGGTCTCACCCTGTCCTGAGGTGGAGGGAGTGGGGACGTTTGACGCACTCCCAGCAGAAACTCGCCGGAAGCGAGAACCACCAGCCTCTCCTGGGGAAGAGAATTGTGGCAAAGACGCTGTAGAAGACCTGCGCCGCTTGTGGGTTTCAGATTGTACAATTGGAAACGTGACAAGAGACCCTATTGTATCAGAGCGCTTCTGAAGAGGAATATAGATATGGCTCCATTAACATGGTAATAGATTTCGGGTATTGTCATTTGTAACTAAACTACAGCATATTTCTGGAACCTTGTTGGTTATCAGCGAGCCCTAATTGAGCAGTGATTAAAAAGATCATGGTTTTCGTTCGATGGCTACATGGTCGGATTTTGTTGGCCGGTGATGACCCCGCGCTCCATTGTTCTTGTAGCCTCCTTGGGTGTGCTATTACCCGAGAAACCGTCAGCTACGCTTGATTCTGTTTATTCCGACCCAACTGCTATATTTTAAATGATCGTAATTATTTTTTAGGAGTTGGAAGAAAGCATTAAGTAGCTAAGGAATGATCTGCGATGGAAAGATAAACAATTTTTTTTTTTTAAATTATAACCACACAAAGAACACTACTTACAATATGATACTTACATTAGCTACATTAAGGATACTTAGGCCCAGTTCAGACGTCGTGCTTCTGTCTTGCCGAACTAAATTGCACTTAGGTTCGACTGTAGCACGGCAGGAAAACAACTCTGATTCAGACGTCGTGCCAAATTTAAACCAAATTCAGGATATACAGATGCCTCGTAACAATTCTCCTCCTAATTCCCCGTGGGAACGCAATCTCGCCAAAATACATTAATATAATTTATGAATTTTGTTTAGCGCTGCAGAAGCACGACGTTTGAATCGCTGCCGTGCCAGAGTCGTGTAGCACGGCAGATCTTGTCGAACTTGATTGCTTGCCGAACAGAATTCAAACGTTTGATTCAGACGCCGTGCTTTTGACGAACTTAATTCCTGAAATTAGTTCGGCACGGCAGAAGCACGACGATTGAACTGGGCCTTAGACGGAATTCTCTACGTACATTGCGGTACAATACTTACAGTAATCTTTCGGTACAATTAATATTTATGCTACTTACATTGTTCTACATACACTGCTTACAATCTGATACTGCAAACAAACGCACTACGCTAATTTAGTCGACTTGGTTGCTGCAATCAGTTTTTGCACCGAAAACCCCTGATCTTTTTCATCTTACGTCTTCAATTTCAAAGACTTCATAGCGCTCCTTATGGTCGAGGTCACTCCATAAAATCAAGGAAAGAGGCAGATAAGCAGTATTTCTCTTTAAAGTCTCTAAATTATGACCTCAAAATCATCGTCAACAACTGAGATCTTTGATATTAGGGACCTTAAGATACGAGGACGGGAAAGGCCAGGACGGGAACGCTAGTGGACGCGGGAAACTTTCGCGGGTCCCGATGTGTCGTCAAAAACAAAATGCTTAAGATGTGTATTTTCGCAAAGGACGGCGACGTCAATAATTCGAACTTCGTACAAGCTATTCACAGAAACAATGACATCCTTTAGACTATAAAAGACATAGTAGAAATCTTATCCTATTAAGCTTAAACGATAGTTCACAGCGATGCTGAATATCTTTTCCTTTATAAGCGAAGCAAACATCTGTCGATACTTCAATAGAGAAACCAGAATTTCCGTATGTAAAAAGTAAACGAACAATCTGATCGACCCGCTTCAGACGGCTTTTTACCACCATGAACATTTCAATTTCCATCTGTAATTGTAACAAGCATTATAAAAATAAAACAAACGTTGCATCAAGTTCCGGGTAGTATATAAAAAAACAACTAAACACCAGTTTGAAAATGTGTATTTTATTTGCTCGATAAATGCTTCCATGGCATTCATTCTTACGACATTTTATCGACAGTACTTACACTGATGTGTTCGCAATGCATACAGTTTGTATTTCGTTTTGATCTTGCACACTCGTGACAGCGACTGAATTATCAGTGACTGAAACACAAACGAACAGACGAGGAATATTTTTATTCACATTTTTTTTCGTATCTCAGCGTAGTATTCTACACTACAATTACGAAATTGTGAACCTTATAAACATTGTTATCATATAACCGAAATTAAGGTCGATTGGAACATCGTGTTGTCGTCCGCATACTGACTTAATTTACACTCGACATTTCCCACGGAGATTCCTTTTATGTCGTTGTCTCCACGAATAGCTGTAGCTAACACCTCGACACAGAGAATAAATAGGTAAGGCGAAAGCGGGAAGCTCTGCCTTACATCTCTACCTTAGCCAAAGAAGCACCTGACCATCCATTATTTACTATGCAGCTTCAAGAGAAATTAATCCGATTAATTAAAGAGGAACCAAAACCAAAATGCTCTAGCGTTTTCCACACGATGGTCCGTTCAATAGTATCGAATGCTTTTTCGAAATCGATAAAAAGGAGTAATCCAGGAAGATCTTTCGAATGGGTATAGGAAATAACGTTAGTGATCAAACAAATATTTTCCGCAATCGAACGGCCTTTCAGAAAACCGGTCTGTTCGTGATCCATTAGATCCGACAACACCAACTGAAGACGAGAAGCGATCGCTTTTGACGCAATTTTGTAATCGCAGTTAAGTAAGGTTGTGGGCTTCCAATTCTTCAATTCGTTTAATGCTTTGTCTTTTTTCTGGATCAAAGAAATGATACCCCTCCTCTGAGTTATAGCTAGTTTTCCCTTTTGACAGCTTCTGTTCAGGAAACTTATGAGAAAAGGAGATAAATCTTTCCAGAAAACTTAATAAAGTTCAGCAGGGAGGCCGTCTGTACCAGGTGATTTACCGGATTCCATTGACTTGACAGCTTCTAGACATTCTCTTTCAGTTAAGGGACCCTCGGATTTTACATTATCAATTTCGTCGAGTTTGTGGTGTTCATAGCCGAAAAACTTTTTTTCCAAATGTTCTGTTATTTTGATACTTTTGGTTGTGTAAAGATCACTATAAAAAGAGATACACTCTTTAAAAATATCTGAGACGTTTGTAAGATTTGCTCCATTCTTTGCCATGATCTGCATGATTGTCTTTTTTTTTTCTGCAGTGGCGATTTTTTAGGCTCAGGAAACATTTCAGTGTTATGTTTCTCACCTTCATTATTGTCATGTATTTGGTTTATTGCAATCGAAGCACATGGAACAGAATGCGCATAAGTGCGCATGCTCATAACGTCAACCGCTGGCTCAATACACTGCAACTCCTCCCCCTTAAGCCAGTCTCATACCCCAAAACTTCGACACAACATGCTATTCTTAAAAATAAAGTCAGAGCCCTAGAAATGGGCAGTTCAATGTTCAAAGGTCCAGTCGGGCTGGGGGCTTCCTCTCTCTGGTAG